GGGGGGGGGGGGTGGTGGATTGCTAAATTGCCGTTAATGATTAAGTTCTGTTTTAGTTAGCACAATAGTCACTTGCTTAGATAGCAGATACTTTGCAAAGCATGTCAGGTCCCGGTTCCGCTCCTCGGCTGGTGGGACTGGATCAAGGAGACAAACAAGCTCGCGAAGCGGCAGGCAAGCCAGCAAGGAGACGCCTGGAGAAAGGCAGGGAAAAAAGACCCTCTCACCTCTAATCAGGTGCTGCCGTCTTCGCAGGTAGGTCTCGTAGGCAGTGTAGTCGCTGTAGACCGTGTTCATGCCAATGCTCTTGCTCTCCAGCCAGTGGGTAGCGGCCAGACCCCGCGCGCACACCGCCAGGGCTCTCACTTTCAGTCCTTTGGCCACCTCCACCACCACTCGCCCGGAAAGAAGCTCTCCTCCCCGGTACGCGACTCCAGGACCCCGGCCGGCGTCCAGCTCCAGCGCAAAAGCACGTATCCTGCTGAAGTGCTGCATGTTTGGGCTGCAGGTCCGCCCAGGGAGCCGCTGGAGAGCGGGACGGGTTGGAGCCCGCTCCGGAAAGTGGGAGCGCGATGCTCGAAGGGCGGCTTTCGGGCGCAGCTGCTCTCCAGCGCTTGGCCCTAAGCTGTGCTCCCCAGCAGCACTGATGTCTGGGTCAGAGCAGGCCGTCAGGCTTGCAGGTGTGGGGCAGAATGGGAGGGCCTGGGCTTTGGAGAGGGAAGACCGGGGCTTTGCCAGCAGCCACCGTCTGCCATCACACAAGGCGACTGGCTGCCGCTTCTCTTTCCTGTTGACTTATTAGGCGCATAGCCTTGCCTTAACTGTACAACTGACAGCAACAGGCGAGGAGCGTCACCAGCAGAGACACCTCCCTCTCCCGCTCCCCCACTTCGTCTTTGAGGGAGTGTCTTCAAAGTACCGCGCGCAAAGACGCCTTCCAGCCCCTGCGCCTTCCGATCGCAGTAAGCGCCGAACCGGAGGGGGAGAAGTTGAAGCCCGTCTTCTCCCCGCGGTGTATTTTTGACACTTGCATATTTGCATTTAACCCTTCGTGATCGGGGGAGCCTCTCTTTAATTAGGCTTTTGGAAGAGATGAATGCTTTTCAGTGGGCAAATGCTCACATTTGGGATGACTGTTGATTACCAATGAATAATTATTTCCAGGGTTAATTCTGTTTTTTTGTAATTTGGTTAAAAACTGGCATTATATATGAAATGCTGCTAATTTTACACACACACACACACTTATATGTATATGTGTGTGCGTGCATGCATGCTTGGCAGCCAAATTTACCTAATTTTATATTAGTTGTTTTGAGTGTTTAATTATTGGTCAGACTGGATTTTGTTTGGAAAAGTGAAACAGATTATAAATATTAATTGAACATGAAAGGATATGACTACCTACAGACATAGTGTGTTCATGTGTATTTTTTTAAAAAAATTTATCCCGCTGTTTTTTCATATACAACTCAAGGTGGCAAATGTACCAATATTCCTTCCTCCTCCGATTTTCATATTCATATGTATATTTATTCATATGTATTTGCACCAATGTATATATTTATCAATGCATTTATTTATTGATTTGCAAGATTCATATACCGCCAACTCCACAAACCATATGTGCATGGCTGTCTATTTATTTAAAGCATTTATATGGCTGCCAAACTAAAAAAATGTAATAATGTAAGTCCTGTCTATTGTAAGTATTGTAAAGAAACCTGTTTTAATTTGAATGCCATATCTGTGACACAGAGAGTTTCTGTTCGCCATGGTTTGTGATTTGATTGCTGCTCTTTTACCTCCAGTCTTTGGATTAGTATAATTGTTTGTTCTTAGACTGATTCTAGAGGTGATTTTTTAAGTTGACAACTTGTACTTTTATGGCAGCATTGTCTAACTACCAAAAGTATCTATGACAAAAAAAGCAGGGTGTAGTTACTCAACTATGACGCAAAATAATACAAAGTGTGCAACCTCTGAAATTACATTGTCCTGCATAATTAAAAAATACAAACTTAAAACAAACATGAGAAATCACATGGCAATATGCACGAACTACTTTGGGCAGTATGTGATATAGTATTAATATTAAGGGGAAAATGTCAAGAGAAAAGATTATATTATTGTTCGGATTGCTGATGTAAGACTGTTACAAAATTCTACTCTGGCCCCCAGTTTTTCACCTAAGAGGGACACTCACATGGCCCATTACTATCAGGACAATGAGGACAATATCCAGGGAAAGAGATTTAGTGATGGAGCAGAATTGCCAACTGTCAGAAATTCTAGAAAGAACTGCTCCTGTCTGTGCTCCTGCACTCTGAAGATGCCGGTTACAGGTGCTGGCAAAACGTTAGGAAACAAAACTTCCAGAACACGGCCACACAGCCCGGAAGACCCACACCAGCCAATTCTAGAAAGATTAAAACTTTTTTCTATAAAAGTCCCCATGAGTAGTTATGCCAGCAATGTTTTCTTCAGACTACAGAAGTTTCTGCTGTGGTCTAGCTATGTGCTAGAGGAGTGTTTCTCAATCTTGGTAACTTTAAGATGTGTGGACTTCAACTTCCACACATCTTCAAGTTGCCAAGGTTGAGAAACACTGTGCTAGAGGCATTGTCTTCAGAAAGGAGGGAGGGAGCTAGAAAGAACCTAAAGGTGGGGCAGGGACACATACGTTAGAACATCTCTAACCTGTGAAACTAATTCTGCCATGAAGCCAAGATTGTGAGAATTGACGGGACTGAAGAAGTGAAGACCTTGATGGCCTCGACACTACATGGATATTTTTCAGCAGCAAGCCAACGGGCATCTGATTTATTCATTCAAACATCTCAGTTAAAGAGGCATTTTTCAAAGAACAAACTTCTTCCTGGGTTGATACTTGACCATAGTGCCAAGGGGAACATTGCTCCCCTGGAAGTCTGCCGTTGCGAGCATGATTGGTCCACTGTACTTCTCTGGATAGGCATCTTTTTGTTCGGTGCTGAACCAACGTTGCCCCTTCCATGGGTGGATCAGATGGGAATATTTAATCTGGAAAGGCAGAAAAAAGGTCAAACAATAAACCTTTTACAATGTGCTAAGTGGCTTCATCATCATTGGTTACTGAAACCCTGTTCTTCTTGTGATATAGGCAGCACTCAGGAGGGCCATGACAATTTAGAAATCCTAAGATCCTGTGAAAAATTAATGCAGTAATTATGAACAATACAATGATGATGAAGACAGGTGCAAACATATTTATTTATTTATTTATGTATTTACTTACTTACTTACTTATCTATATACTGTACTGCCTCAATTACCAAGGTAACTCTAGGCAGCTTACATATTAGGGTTAAAACAATAATAAGAGAGCCAGTTGGGTCCAGCGGTGAAGGCACCAGGCTAGAAAGCAGGAGACGGTGAGTTCTAGACCTGCCTTCAGTATGAAAGCCGGCTGGGTGACTTTGGGCGAGTCCCTCTCTCAGCCCAACTCACCTCACAGGGTTGTTGTGGTGGGGAAAATAGGAGGAGGAAGGAGTATTCAGTATGTTTGCCACCTTGAATTATTTATAAAAAGAATAAAGGCAGGATTAAAAAAAGTAGTAAAGGTAACATTACCACCCATTGGGGAGGATAACCAACTCAAAAAAGATTAAACCATCAAAATAAACTACCAAGAAGATAACTCACTACACCTTTGCCCTGCTGGAAGAGCAAAGTTTTCACAGCTTTATGAATGCCCAACAGAGTTGGGGCCATGCGGATTTCAGAGGGCAGGCTCAGCTCCAAGGAAGGTGCTCCCCCTAAGCTCCACGAGATTACATCACAATGCTTTACAGCTCAGTCCCCACAACCCTCCCAATCCTGGTTAGTGTCAAAGGGCTGGAATGTAAAGCAAAACACAACCTAGTAAGTGAAACAGCTGCCTGAACAGAGAAGACATCCAGGTAGCACAAAACAGGATAGAGGGTCCAACAGATCACCTGAGGAGAGGGAAATTAAAATAGCCTTCTCACAGATTGGCTAATAGGAAAGGAAATCAACCTTTGGGTAGCTTGAGCCTAGTTAACAGCCAATTAATATTTTTTCAATGGGAGTTCTTGCTTAGAAGTGAGCTCCTGATCATCCTGTCTAAAATATCCAACAGAGCTAACAAGAGAAGGGAAGGGAGGCAGAGAAAAAGCAGTTTGCTAGATTTGGAGACTGAAATACAAATTGAAAAGATAGAGAGGAGAAGGATGGTCTTCAGGAGATCTGCTGTCCTGTAGAAGGAACCATTTGTCTTCACCTAACTAGGTGTCTAGCTAGGGATAATGTCTAGCCAATTCTGGTTGATCTTGAAAAGCTAGGCAGCATCCAACCTGGTTAGTATTTGGATAGAGGTCTTATAGGAATTCCAGAATAGTAGGTTAGACTAGGAAGTAACCCCCCCCCCACCTTTCGGAACTATTGCCAAGAAGGCTACACAGATGTGTACATGAAATCATCAGGCATAGTGTGTGACTCAAAGGAGACTTTATCTTTTTCACCAGGAACACTTAGGAGGAGACACATCATCAATGAGAAAGGGCACTTTATGATCTTAAATGGCCCAGCTGACAATGCTAAAACCTGTGGGAGAGATACCATGTGCTTCTGTAGGGCACTCAAGACAGTAAGATTCCTCCCAACCTTTTGCAGTTCTTCCTCTGTCAGCTGATACCTCTTCTCTTGGTGAGGAACAAGCATATCCTGTGTAGTAGTGGTGCTGGTGCTGGATGTTCCAGGACCTGAATGAAGAAAAAAAAAGCAAAATGTTTAAGAAACAAATATTGCTCTCCCTCCCACAAAAAAGTCAAAAAGATTAAATGAGGATTAGGCAAAGACACATCTAGAATGGCAACAAAAAAGGATGAAAATAATCTCCTTTCAGAACAAACTGGCCGTGTTCACACATTAACCGAGTTACAGTTCATTGCCCAATCAACTAAGGAATACATGAAGCCACAAAAAATATAGGTTAAAAATAGCTGAACTTAACATGTTACATGAATGCAGTCAGTAGGTTTGTAATTGACCTGATTAAGTGCATTATGTGAACATAGCCATTGGTTATTTTTACTCATTGGGGGAATCCTACAAACTCTATGCCTGCAATAATTCCAAACCACAACATAAGGATACCTAGGCTGTTATCATGATTTCATGATAAATATCACCTTTATCTTTTTCATAATGAAAACATTAGGGGCATATATTTTCCTGTTCATTTTTTCCCCAGAACATTTATTTCTCATAGGACCGTCTTTTTATTTCAATATGACATCTCCAATGGCATCTTTTGTAAGAGACGAGAATGAACAATATTGTTTTATCCCCTCCAACAAATGTTCTTTTGGCAGGGCTCCTGATGTTAGAGAGTAGAGCGCTGGAGAAAGTGGACATTATGATATAGGTGATAACTTTGCAACTTCATAATTTCATAACTGGATGGAACTAAATGTGGTGCCAGCTCATTTTTTTCAAAGGAAAGGGTAGAAATAAATTTCAGCAGAGGATTCCTTTGTACTGTATATGTGAACAAGAACCCTGTAAGGCTTAGCACATGATCCCACCTTTAAAATATAGGACTGTACCTTGATAGTTGAAGCAAATGCTGCTACCCGTTGAAGTCTTGTTTTTGGAATCCAATTTGTGCATTTCAGGAGGTGGCTGATAGTCAAAATGTTGGGTAGTATTGAAAGACGGTAGTAAGTGTGTATCTCCCAAGCGCAGTTTTGTTAGTGGCCGAATCAGTGGCTGGTTCACAAGGTCCTTAGCA